TTTTCACCTGTAAAGCAGGCGGAGGTGTGCTCTGGTGCAGGTGAGCTGCAGCGGTCATGTCAGTGGGAGGATCCGGGAGTTTCTCTGTGTCACATTCCCGTGGCAGCGCACTCGGTGCTCGCTCGGAGGTTTAGGGGTTTTTTCGCTGTAAAAAGAAGTTTTCTTCCCACGCAGCGATCAGCGGACGCTAATGTTTTTGTCACTTTTTATGGAATCAAACTCAAAGTAATGTGATTACTTCCACGCTTTAAACGCTGCACGCTCACACTCTCTCTGCACTCGATATATTATTCTTCTGTTTGGATCAAAGCATGAATAAATGAATAAAGTCATCTTTGTGTTTCAGATACAAAATAAAAACAGCTTTCACTTTGCCAAAATACAGAAATGTTTCATATTAAACTTTGGGTACATGAACACGTCACATCCATCCACCCGTCACACCAACAACACCGACCTCTGCTGTAGGTTAGAGAAGCAGCGCTGTGATGCTCCACCCACTCTTATCTCACCAGAGGTTAAAACAACACAACAATGTATGAATTCATATGTTCAAAACCCATAAATACGCGTTATCTAAAGCTGTGACCACACCGCTGTCAAACAATACGCTTGGTTGGTCTAAAATACGGAACAGCAAACAAACAGAGTTTAAACTGGAGGCGTCGTCTCACTGCAGGCAGGCTTCAAACTTCAGTAAAGTCTTTAATCCTCTTTGGTTTTCTCATGGAAAGAAAGAGCGCTGCAGAGAAAGAGGAGAATATGTCAGAGACAGACGTGGTCTTCATTCCCAAACTGAAGCCAGTGTTTGAAGCTAAAACCTGCAATTCCTCTAACGTCCAGCAGAGGCAGCAGTGAGTCAGTCCCACAGACTGTTAAAGCTTTACAGCAGAATGAAACATGTTTACAGCCTGATACGCAAACTGTTTGGTCTCTGCAGATCATTTCTACCTTCATAACAGCTTTTTAAATTGTATTAAGGAATAAAGTCTGCATTACTAGGGGCGTGGCCTATGTAACTGACAGGTGGATGGTGACACAGGTGGGTGTAGCTGCTAGCTGTCTGCTAGCTTCACCTGAACTGGACCTCTGGACCTTGTTTGTGCTGTTGGAGCCTTTTAGAGCATTTTTAATGACATCACCTGACCAATAACATGGCTGCTCTGAGGTTACTGTAATAACAGACCATCCAACAAGTCTGACTAAGAGCTTTGGTCAGATTCCACAGTTTTCTGTGGATGGTGCTGATTAGCAGGTATCTGTGTGATGCTTTATCTGAATCATTAACTTGTCCTACAAACAAACTGGTTTTAGTGATTTTTAGTTTAAAAAAAACAAATATGGAATAAAGTTTTGTACCAAAGCATAAACCTGGCATCTTCACCCAGTCCAATAAAGGAAATGCTGGTTTCAATTATGGATTAATTACCTTTGAAACTGAGCTTGAGTGAAGGCTCCTCCTCCAGCAGGGAGTCTGAGTCGGGCCACAATTGGTTAACCAAGATTTTAGCGTTTTCAAAATGATCAAAATAGAAGTTGGGTGTGACTGTGGGTCTGTCTGGTTCACAGAATTTCAGGTTCTCTCTCAGTTGGTCAGAATCAAACTTCAGTACCTGGAAAAAGAAAAAGAAAAGAGAGAGTGAACAATAAAGCTTAGTGACTACAAAGATTAGTTAAGAGCTTAACTGTCAGACACACATCAGCCTGTGAGTCTGTTCTATCCATCCATCTTCTTCTGCTTATCTGAGGCCGCGTTATGGAGGCCGCAGCCACCTCCTCCAGTGTTCCCGGGCCAGCCAAGAGATATAATCTCTCCAGTGTGTCCTGGGTCTGTCCTGGGACCCCCTCCCAGCGGAACGTGCCCAGAACACCTCACCCAGGAGGCTTCCTTGTTACATGGCCAAACCAGCTTAACTGGCTCCTTTCGATGTAGAGGAGTAATGGCTGTACTTTGAGCCCCTCACAAATGGTCAAACTCCTCACCTACCAATGCCCCTACAGTCAGAGGACACCCTCCAGTCCCTCTTCTTGAAGATGGTAACCACCATCCCAGTCTGCCAGTCCAGAGGTACTGCCCCTCTCCACACAACATTGTAGAGGCATATCAACCAAGACAGCCCTGCAAGATCCAGATCCTTCAGAAACTCAGGGCGAACTTCATCCACACCAAGGGCCCCGCCACCAAGGAGTTGTTTAGCTGCCTCAGTGACCTCACTCCGGTTATGGACTAGTCACTCCCCAGGTCTCCAGACTCTGCTTGCTTTATGGAAGACTGGGATTAAGGAGGTCCTTGATGTATTCCTTCCAACCCAACAATATCCTCAGTCAAATCAGCTGCACTCTGCTGTCCTGCATCTGGTTTGGGGGTTACCACCACGACAGGCACCAACGACCTTGCAGCCGCAGCTCAGTGCAGCAGTTGAAGATCTCGCCTCTGTCAGGTGTTCCCAGCGAACCCTCATTTTACGTTCAGGTGCACCAGGTCTGTCCACCATCGTCCCCTGCCACCTGATCCAATTCCGCCTCCAGGTGGTGATCAGTTAAAAGCTCACCATCTTTCTTCACCCAAATGTCCAGAACATACGGCCACAGATCCGATGATACAATTACAAAATTGATCATCGACCTGTGGTATGGGGTGTCCTAGTGCCATGTGCAGTTACAGACACCCTGGTTCACACAGGAGTCCAGCTCTGGTTCAGATCTGGCAGACCCTTCCTCCCAGTCATGCCCTTCCAGGTCTCAGTGTTGTTGCCCGCATTAGTGTTGAATTCTCCCAGTAAGACGACAGCCCCCAGGTGGAGCACGCTGGCAGTTTACTCTGAACTGCTGTTCGGCGCACAGGCACAGATGACAGTCAGGACCTATTCCCTGACCTGAAGGTGCAGGGAACATATCCTCTTGTCCACCAGGGAAAACTAGGGGATACTAAGATATCCACCCCAGCTGAGACAAAGTCCAGCCTGTCTCCGGAACCAGGAACCAGCACACCACAGTTGCCAGTGTGTGCTGGCCACTGCCCAGCACTCCGACAATAAAGCCTCTGGGATCACTGGGACTAGCAAACCCCTCCACAACAATAAATCTGCAATTCACAGAGGGGGTTAGTTTGTTGTTGTGGGGCGATCGTGGCTCAAGAGTCGGCAGTTCGTCTTGTAATC